ACTGTTTGTTTTTTTTTTTTTTTTTTTTTCGTTGTTAGCGTGGTTGTCATGACACGTCAATTGTTACTGTCAATGTCATGCAGTTGGACCTATAACGATCCTCTTCGGGCAAAATACAACGCAAAAATGGCTGGAATGAATGCACCAATTGCGAAGCCTAAAGGAAGCAAGAAGTTGAAGGATTGGGAATCTCGTTGAGTTTTAATGACGTAAAAGCACGGTTAGGAAGCTTTTCCAGTTATCCCTTTTTCATTGTTCAATTAGAAACAAAAAAAATTGCTTGCTTAATGGGTTTACCAAGTTATTTAAGCACCCATCTTTTCTTTTCTTTCAAACTAGAAATGTACCTGGATTTTGTATGCTGATGTAATATAGTTGCTCATTAGTCATTATGCTTCCCCTTGCAGTTGTTTTTTGGTAGGTAATTCTCGTTGTTTACATAATATGTTTTATCTACAAAAATGTTTCAATCGAACTCTTCTGAAAGCGTTATGCTTTTCCTTTTAACTTTCGAAATAATCACAAGCCTCCCTTTTTCTTTTCTATTGCAATTTCTGGATTATTATATATATGATAATTTTTTTAACTTTCCATATATATAGAAATAGAAACGTAAGATCTTCAGGTAATAAGATGTATAGGGACACATCGAAAATGCCATAAAAATAAATTGTAGCCTCTCTATATCTATGCTTTTGTTTTCATCATCAAAAAGACAAACACCTCAATCTGATGGTGAGACCTGTTCTCTTATTTTGATCTCAGGATCAAACTCTTGAATGAATTTGTAGTATTAATTTGATTATTGTTCTTTAAATTTTATCTATGATCTCATTAATTCATAATTTGTGTATATTTGTTAATTCTCTATTTTGTTCCTTTTATCTTTTGAGAAAGGGATTGCTGACCAGAACAAAAATGGATGCTGTGGATGTGAGAGGGGTCATGCATATATCCACACTCTTTTAATGTCGCTAATAGAAAGGCAGGTAGTTAAATATAAGAATGACTTTACTGGTAAGGAATGATATCCCTTATCTTCATTTTTACTGTTCGTGTTGATCAAGGATGAATTCTTATATACTTGTGGATTCTAAGCATAATTCTGGATTTTGAATAGTGATTAAAAAGGTGAGGAATTATCCTCTCTTATCCTTATTCTAACAACGATTTTAAGGATTTTCTGTTCTGCTAGAGATGTGTCCTCTTGAAGATCTGTGTCATCTTTACTATAATAGTAGGATTTTTAGGGATGTAGAGGAATTTAGAGAGAGGGTAGGTTCGAGTTGGTCACTAGAACGACTTCGTCTATTTGGACATTGGGCTTTTTAGTTGGTCATTAGCCAAGTATTTATTAAAAAAATGAGTCTCACAGTAACCGCCTAAGTCCACTGCTAGCAGATATCGTTCTCTTTAGGCTTTTTCTTCTGAGATTCCCCTCAAGATTTTTAAAACGCGTCTACTAGGGAGAGGTCTACACACCCTTATAAAGAATGATTTGTCTATATTTGCATTATACTTTATACACTAATAATGATTATGGCGTGATTCATTCTCGCAATGTCCAGCATTAAATAAAGCATCGAGGGAAAACCAAGTTTTCAGTAAGAAACTAGGACATACAAACTGAGCCCAGCAAAAAGAGCCAAACTAGACTAGCATTAGACATATGTAAGTTTCGAACATTTTTTAAAAAAAACTCTGTTATTGATCTCTGTTCTTAACTTCACACAATATTATTCATCTCTCTTGTTCCATCCCATCCCAACCCATTTTAGATGAGTGAGTATGTGTAACAGTTCAATCTCACCGCTAGCAGATATTATCTTTAGGCTTTCCCTTTCAGGCGTCTTCTCAAGGTTTTTAAAACGTGTTTGTTAGGGAGAGTTTTCCACACCCTTATAAATAATGCTTCGTTCTCCTCTTCAACTGATGTTAGATCTCAAAAATGATGATCAAGAGATGTTTTGTTCTTGTTTAAGTAGTTTCTTACCCTTGTTATTAGAAAGGTTGGTTGGTTAGATTTTTCTAATAGCTTGGATCACAGAAAAAATAAGGGAAAAAGAGAGCTTAAGCACGGCAGAGTCCAATGCACCCTTTTTGTTGTAGGTTAAATGCCTAAATGGAGGAAAAAGTTTGATTTAGAGCCAGATTTTGACGAACGCTTTAGAAGGATAGATTTCAAATAAGGTTTTGGTTGCTTAGGAGCATTTATTTAGCCTGGTGAGCTCTTAAGATGTACAACAAAGTAAATGGTAAATGGTGAGAGGAGAGAGTTATGTTGTAACCCCGCCTAAGTCCACGAGATTGTCCTTCTTTGGGTTTTCTCTTTTGGACTTTCTTTCAAGGTTTTTAAAATGCATCTTCTAGGGAGAGGTTTTCACACCTTTATAAAGAATGTTTTGTTCTCCTCTCTAACAGATGTGAGATCTTACCATCCACCCCCTTTGGAGTCCAGCGTCCTCCCTGGCATTCAGTCTTTGTCTGGCAACTTGTAAGTATAATCACAATAGAAAAAGTGGTTCTTGCATGGCTTCGATTTCGATGAGAATGGAAAGAATTCAGCAACCCCAAAAATCTCGTCAAACAAGAGATGGAATTCCATGAAAGAATTTGAACTAGCCCAAGACTCGAATATTTGGAGGCCTTCGCTCTTTCTTCTGACTGTCAGTTTTTTCTTCTCCAAAGAGTCTGACCACCTTCTTGATTTACTAGTGGAAACTGGGGATTCGTAAGAACGGCGAAGGAACCGCTTTCAATGAAAGTTGCTCTTTGTCAAGATCGGAATAATTCCGCAAAAGGTGATGCTCCTACCCCCACAATGCCTATCCCTTTACCTTACCTTCAGAAGAAATAGGGAGAAGAAATAGGGAGGAATGAAGCATGAAAAACAATGCAATCAGTGTATGATACAATAGGTCACCTTAAAGATAATGTATGGCAGCAAAGCTCTTCCTAGGAATCCAAACAAATATCTAAGTTTCCAAACCATTCTTTCTTACTTTTAGACACCATTTTTTGCTTTCTTCTTACTCCCTTCATTGCTTCCTTTATATACATCTTTTAGGGGTATCACTTCATTACAAATATACCTTAAATAATGACTTTCATTTTTGGGTCCCTTGATTTCTTTATTCATTCAACATGATCTATAATTTTTACCGAGTTTTTATTTTTTACAACCATTCCTATATTCATTTTTTCGCTTGAAATTAAACAAACCGTGAGTTGATTTTGATTCTTGCCCAAGGTTTCTTTAGACCCCGACAAATATGAAAGATGGCAAAATGACTATTTTATCTCTTGGTTGATCTTGAACGATTGTTTCTAATTTTTCACTATATTTTTTAAAAAGTTTCTAAGGTTATTTCGAGCACTCCACTTATACATCTTAAAAGTTTAAAACTAAAATAGAAAAGTTAGGAAAGCTAACCTATTGGGCTTAGGCATTACATATATGGCTAACGTTAACATTCACGGTTTATTTCTCTACGATGTTATCATAACTGAATATTTCAATTACATAACTCAAGCATAAATCGAGTTCATACACGTCTTACAACATACCATATACTACTTAACACGGTTATACTACATACCTAGTCACGACAAGGTGTGTCGTCGAGTTGAGTCATAGAAGTGTACGTGTACGACTCTCTTCCCTTAAAAAAAAGTCAATTGGAGCTAAAACTTGACTTTTCTAATACTAATTTGCCATGACTCGATTTTCGAGATTATAAAACTCTAACGGTGATTGAAAAGACAAATAAAAGAAAAGAAAAGAAAATAATATAAAATATAAAAATGTAAAAAAGAAAAAAATGGGGTAAAATTTAAATCTAGTTAAAACAAACCACACATAATTTTTTGTTAAAGCATCTACTGTTTTGTCTAAGCCTATTAACATACCTAAAGTTGTGGCTAATAAATGAAGATTTGTGCCTACTATAGGTAATGATAGTTGTACACTTATCGAAAATGTGGATGATGGTTTAAAACATGATTTACTTAGTATTAATTAATTATGTATAAGTGTAATAGCCATAGCAACAAACATTTAATCGGGGAAAAACCTATCTTTTTCTCAACAATGTCTTTGTCATTTGATCCAACTGCGTTCCGTTATATAAGAACAGATTTGATAAATACTGATAACTCTCGGATGGAGTATTAGAACCAAAAAATCCATTAGATAATGAACTATTGGTTCTAAGCCATCTCTGGTGATGAATCAACAATCCGAACTAATCCGAACTGCTTTTCTTGCATATTCTTGATAAACCAATGTTTATATATATACATATAGGAAGATCTGTTTGGGAAGTAAGCAGCCCCTTTGACATCTCTTAGTCTGTAAAGAATTCTCGATGTGAAAACACAGAGACAAAAGACTGATCTTTGAATAGGAAAAACACAGAGACAAAAACTGATCTTTGAATAGGAAAAACACAGAGACCATTGTAAAATTTAGATAAATAGTTTTACAGAAATTTGAACTTGAAATTGATGTTATGTGCTCGCTTACATAGGTTGTGTCACGACCCGATTTTCGAGGGTTCGAAGCTCAGACCGTGACCCAAAGGACGAAATCGAAAACAAACAAAAAGAAAATAAAATAAAAAAAAGAGTGGAATAAAAAGATGAAAATCCAATAAAATTAAAATAAAATACAAATATAAAAGGAATTCGCAAAAGACTCCAAAAGACCGAAAAGGGATTGATGCTCCGGAACGACTCCCTCTGTGACCGCACAGCTCTCGAACGCTCCTCCACCTCGACCGGCACTTGACAAAAAGGTAGAAAGGAATGAGTATAAAAATTATACTCAGTAAGCCACCTAGTTGTAGGCTCTCTTTGCATCTTAGTTTAACAGAATTCCCACGGTTTCCTACTTCGGTTCTAGGACATCTGGTTCTAATCTTAGTTCCTTGGGGCTTGCCCCTTGGGTTTCACTGGTTCGTCGTCCTTTCATTAAACGCCTAGAGGTTCCTTACGCCAAGCTAATATGGTCGGTATCTCTCTATGAGGTGCTACCTCTACATGGCTATATGGGACTACATGGTACCTAGCCTAGGGGTGTGCTGAATACCCCTATGCCCATATAGTCCCCCTATGGGGGAGCGACCCAACCCGTTCCCATGCAGCTAATGGGCTGTACGACGTGGGAACACATTTCCCATGTGAAATGGCTAAGAGCAGTAAGGACTGATCAGGGACCCTTCGTCCTCCCACGAAGCTATAGATACCGTTCTCACGCTAGCAATCTATGAACACTCCGAGGTACTTTCTTGCCGTGGTAAACCACTAAGCTCCTAGGGAAAAATTAAGTTTGGCTGGAGCGACATATCGCTCCTAACGGTAATTCCCTAAGCTTATCATAGAAATGGACCCTAGCAATT